TTGGCTAGGACGGTAGACATAGCCGTGAAGGTGGTATGATACAACCGTGGATATGTTGCACAAGGTCTTCCTTTCTTTTGTTTTTGAGACTTGCATTAGAGGGTCCTATTTATTTTGACTGCCATGGGATTCAGGAATAATCTGACCAAAGGTGATTTGGATATGTCTGAGGCGGAGGCACAACTTTTCATTGGAGAAGATATGCTAATGCTGGCTGATGAAAGAATTTGAATTGTAGTTGAAAATGTTTGTATTGATATCCCAGGTTTGAAATTTTGTCCTTACAGTATTTAAAACATTGGGGCAATAGGGAAATATGAGAGGTTTTCATCAAGCTCTTTGTAATTTCCAACAGGACCAGCAATTTGGGGGCTGGTTTAAAAGCTAATAATACTTTCTTATGTTGGGTAACAAAAGAAGAAGAAAATGTTATTTTCAAATTCTCTGACTTCAAACAACACGATTGAATAGAAAATGATTTGCAGGTAGCTAAAGAAAGAGGGCCTAAAATCATTTTTCTTGCAGTGGCTGAGAAATGGGAAACTCCAGCATGAACTCGATGTTAATGTTTTGCGTAACGAGGGAGTAAGCGGCTTCGTGAGCTGTTTGTGATGAAAATGATTGGTTGATGGTGGATGCATCAAAATAATTGGTTGATGGCCTTTTCAATTAATAAGAGAATTATATATAGCGGTTGGTACGGTTCGGATTAGATCGATTTTACTCCACAATCAGAATGGACCAATTATAATGTAATGGTTCAGTTAAGTCAGTTTTAACAAAAATCATTGAGAAAATGGAATCAAACCAAACTGTTATGATTAGGTTCATTTTAGATCTTTTGTGGTCAAAATCAAACCAAACCAAACCAACCATTATAATTCCGATGGGTCAGACTGATGCGCACCACTAATTATATATCAGTGTAAAGCTACATGCTCAACATTTAGTTATAACAAATTTAGGTACAAATTGAACTATAGTTTACAAAACACCTACTCTAATCTGGTTTTGCATTTGTTTGTATTCCATATAAGAGAAGTTGCATTAAAGCGTGCCTCTTTTATTTTTTGGACCAATTATAATGTGATGGTTCAGTTATAACAAAAATCATTGAGAAAATGGAATCAAACCAAACTGTTATGATTAGGTTCATTTTAGATCTTTTGTGGTCAAAACCAAACCAAAACAAACTAACCATTATAATTCCGATGGGTTAGACTGATGCGCACCACTAATTATATATCAGTGTAAAGCTACATGCCCAACATTTAGTTATAACAAATTTAGGTACAAATTGAACTATAGTTTACAAAACACCTACTCTAATCTGGTTTTGCATTTGTTTGTATTCCATATAAGAGAAGTTGCATTAAAGCGTGCCTCTTTTATTTTTTAAATCAAAGATAAACTTCATTAAATAAACTTTAACTTGACAATCAAAGACATTAACATGACATCGAAAGTACCAATCCAGAGCGTGCTTAAATATTCAAATTTTCTACTAACTAGTTTAAGTTTTTGTGTCATAGTTTTAGTTAGAGGCGCATCTTATTTATTAATGGCTCTGCTTGTAGCTTGCGAGACTGCAGTAAACAATGCATTTACTTTCATCTTTTATTTATATGGGAGTAAAACTGTAAAGTTGTTGTCAACTTGAACTCTCCTTTCGCAGTGACAATAGTAAAACAAGTTCTTATTCTACGTTCTTGAGATTGACCAAAAAAGGAAAAGAAGAAATAAATTCTACATTATGGAGTAGCCTGGGCCACCACCTCCTTCTGGCGCAGTCCACTGAATGTTTTGCTTTGGGTCTTTGATATCGCATGCCTGAAACATATCAAAGCAAAATTGGTACATCTTCAAACCAAGGGACGAGAAAGTAGTAACAGTCTAAACCATGAGCAGAAAATCAGCCAAACAAGCTGGTCAAGTCAATGGCACAATACATATTGCCTGGTTTTTTCTTCAGCATACAATTGTGCAATTGCACCCTCAAGGTTAAAATATGAATTAAAAGAGTTTATAGGCTACCACTTAGGCTTTTAAGATCCTCCTATTTTTAAAGAGGAGTTGTTCTTGTGTATTATAGGGAAATTGTTTTGGCTACAACCACTAAATACAAGCATCCTCTCACAGCCAACCCCTCGTGCGTGATCACGTGACCGGTAGATGTAAGAGGGATTGTTGTAGCTGTCATAAGTACGACTTTCGCCTACTGCACATGGTCACCACTTCCCGAATAACAGGAGTGCAGGATAAGAAGAGGTCTAAAACCTTTCATTTGATGGAGGGTTGGCAAAAGAAAACACTAGACCAAAGAATGCTTCACACATTTTTTTTTTGGTCTCTTGAATCATGAAACATGGGTGTGCCTTAGAATGGAATGCAGTCCAAAAACCTCTCCCAAATTACAATTGTGTGTGGAATTGCAAGCAAAACCAGTAAAGGCAAAACCAGTAAAGGTGCATGCTATATATACGCATGTTCCAGAAAAATAAAAAATAAAAACAGAATGTTTGCCAAAATATATTGGCCAGGGACACATAGTGCATGGAGATGCATATATGTTGGACATCTGAAATACATAAAAGGTAGCTCCTACTACCTTTTCAAATTACCTTGCAATGCAGGCAGTTTTGAGCATTGATCTGCAACTTCAGCTGACCCTTTTCATCTGGCATATACCTACATTTCAAAACTTGAGATGAATTAGAGATAATCCATTTAGGCATGATCACTCAAGTACAATAAAAAATAGAATGGACATTACTCATATACACGCGCAGGACAATATCGTGACTCAGGACCAGCATACTCTGGCAAATTTACAAGTTCAGGAATCTTGGGGTCCCTCAACTGAAGGTGAGCTGGTTGGTCATGTTCATGATTTGTGTTGCTCCTGTTTAAGCAAACAAAGATCCATGCATCACTTACAACAAAAGTGGGGAAGGACATATATAGTTCTGTGAGAATATTATGTTAATCTAATATAGCTGGTCCTCAAATGCAAAATACCTCTTATGGTTAGAAGATAGATATATGTAGATGTGTCTGAATTATTTGGCATTGACAGCATAGGTCATTTCTAATATGTAAATGATTTCTATCCAAACACAAACATTCACCCCTTTACTTTACTTAGTCCACTAATAGTAATTTTGAAAATTATGACAGCAGAAATGGCAGTGACTTCTAAAACCCACAACAACTCCTAGCTATTGGTAGTCAGCCAAAAGAATCCTTTCTACTCTTCAGGTTTTAGTTACCACAAGAAAAAATCCAAAAACTATTATTCCTTTCCCAAAACTCAAGAAGCACAGAATTAGTTTGATTTTTGTTTATAACGAATACGTTCTTTATATCTAGGCTTTCAGAATGTTTCTGGTCTAGGCTCTCAGCCTATCAAATCACAACTTATCATGTCCTTATCTGCTAACTTAAACCACATGGAGGTAGAACCTAAATTTCCTGGCATACTAAGAGTGGGGAAATGATTGACCTTTGTACTGGAAGTTGACCTTGCTAAACTATTTCTGCTAAAATAGGATTACTCCCTTAACCTATTGCAAAACCATGTTGGGGCAGGAAAAAAAAAAATACCAGCTACAAGAAAAGACCTCATGATAGTTAATATGGGCCCTATTTCTGCTAAAATAGGATTACTCCCTTAACCTATTGCAAAACCATGTTGGGGCAGGAAAAAAAAATATACCAGCTACAAGAAAAGACCTCATGATAGTTAATATGGGCCCCCACCAACCACCAATGAGGATCTATGCTACAAGCATGCAACTGTCATAGAAGCTTAAGACATTAAAAGGGGCATGTGAGAGGGAAGTGAGCTCCCCTACAATAACAGAGGGCTCTCTATTGGCACAGAGATTCTCTGGGCTATTCAACAGTTTCATGCATGTTCGCACTGTTCATTGCACCAAGAACAGGCATTTCATTTAAACATTTTATGTGCCCTTGAGTCGTAGAACTCTGAAAAGTCTCCATTCCATGACATTATATTCACATATATTTAAGTTCTGAGGCAGGTGAAGTAGGGTAATGAAAACCCGACAGTATAACATATGTTGCCAAGGTTGTAACACTGAAACCTGTTCCACTGTAATCTTTTAACTAAAAGAAGCACGACTACAAAATGTAAGTATTGGTATTTAAAAACCTGTGTAGGGAGGTTGGAATATCGAAAGATAAAACCCCATCTGGCTTTGGATATTGAATTGGAGAGTGAAACTGTGCAGCCTGCATATGCGAATGTAGACAAATCAGTTCTTAGCAGGTAAATAAGTTCATTAACTGCACTACTAATATACCCCTGTAATAAAAGTTTGATTCTATTTTAGAGGTTGTGGGGAACAAAAATAATAATCCAAAGAGGCGAATATCTCTCTACCAATATTTGTAATTTGAGAAAAAAAAATGTAGCCAGAGCCAGTGTAAGAGATATTTAATCAACAAGTGAAATTTCAACGGCAGATGTTCAGGAGGAACCTTCCAAGTAAAATTGGCAAGGACCATATGTTACCTCTAGTTTTCGACAGATGAGTACATATGTCAGTTGACCACAATAATTATATCATGGACCAGGAAAAGAAGAAAGAAGAATATATCAAATCAGTGCTTCTGTTACAAAACCATTCATGCACTGTTGAAGAACACAACTGGTTTTGATCAGGATATCCAACCCCTTTTTTCTATGCATAACTGAACTATTTCAGAATTATGCCCATATTTCAGGTATTAGTATGATGCCCAATGGCAGTCAATTGGTCACAAAGAAACAGTAACTGGGGGCATAATCCCAACCCTCCTCACAACAATGAACAAGTTGCAGGAGGGGATTTTTCTCCCTGGTGGACTTAAAGTTGAAGAGTTCATAAGTTACCACAGACCTAGTATCCAGGCCTGCATTTTCTAACCCTTCCATCCCAAAACAATCCCCAAAATTTGAATCATTCAGTGCTAAACTGTAGTGTCCTTACTACATAGGTCTCTGTAATTTGAATTCATGGTTTTCAGAATGTGGTCTCACATTTGTTGCTTCATGGTCTGGTTTTCCATGCTTCAGCATCAAGGGGGCTCTTCCTTTCATTATATAACTGCAAGGCAGAAAACATAGGTGACTAAGGCGTGAAGAAGGAACATTGTATTATGAGGAAATCCTAATCAGTCAAAGTAACAAGCAACAATATGATCTCACTGTTCTAAAGCACTTATGGCCAGTCCAGGAATAAGTCCATATTCGAATGCCTAAAAAGATAAAATTATACAAAAGGTTAGTAACAGTAAACTATAATTAAAATCCTAAGGGAGAAGCTTAAAGTTGGCTATCTTCTCCGATTTGCACAGAATTATCCAGGAGCATAAAACAACAAATATTTTTTCGTTTCAACTTACTATTTCGTTAAACAAGAAATGAGAAATGGAGCAAAACATACACAAAACACTGCATGACAAGAGGTGACTAGTTGAGTAACATTTATCTGGATGTATCCATTAGTATAGGGCTAAAAATAGGAGGTAGTACAGTCCCAAAATGATGACCAATTTTTTTTAAACCTATTGTGGGAAAATGGAGATAGAAACTAAAAACAAAGGAAAAGACAATGGATGTTTCTACTTACAGGTCGGAAGTTCCGAGATTTGTAAAGTTCTTCCCATATCCATGAACTCCTTAAAGCATCCCAATATTTTTCCATGTTTAAGCCTTCATGTAGTACACTCAATGTAGCTTCTGCAGCTAGCATGCCTGTAGGTAATAACTCAAAAGTAATCCATTAGAGTAAGGCTCTTGTATAACACATAAAAGATTCTGGGATTCCTATGCATGCCTATAAACATTCCACATGGGGCATATGAATTCCTTGTGGATGCATCAAGGAGGCATCAAGTGGTACCACTCATAATACTAATATGTTCATTCAGCCATCGCAAATAGACTTGTTAGATTCTATGGTGAATTAGAGAAACCGAATAACGTGTACCATGAAAAACCCAGCTAGAGCTCCACAAAGTGACTGGTGTCTTGAAATGTGAAAGTAACATTTTTTAAGATTAAAACAGACATGAGCTCCTCTGTGTCCATAAATGTTCATGCATGTCAGTTAGTAGTAACCGAAGTTAACACTTGAAAAAATGCTATCCAGTCATTAGAATAGAGCTCACGAGTTCCTTAGAAAGGTAAATTCTTGTTTTTCAGGCTAAAGCTAGGAATAATAATTGGTTAGATAAAAGAAAAGGCTTACATGTAAGCTCAAAGTGGTTACAATGGAAAATCATGCCTAAGCATGCATACGGTTAGCTTGAAAGGCACAAACGGTCCAAAGAGGGCCTTAATATCGTTTCTCAAATGTCATGTAATCAAATTGCACAAGAATGAATGTCTTTTAAGTGATCAACCAAGTCAATGAAGAATGAGATCAAACAACAACTCGGATGATAAGAAAATAAGAATACGTGTATAACACTCATGAATTGAAGCACAAGGCTCAAAGCTCACATTATATGGTTATACAAGTCTAATTCATGCTTGATACAATTCTTTGGATCATGCAAGTCCCTCAACTGGAGAATTATAAAACAAATGGCAAGTGCATAAAGGGTTTCAAACATATCATGCTAGAACGATGCCATTTAGCTCATTTTCATTCTAACCAAGGTAAAACCTATGAAAACACAAAAAGGAAGTAAAAAGCTATAAAATGTCAAGAACTAACTCAAAATAATGGGTGAATAACATGATAAATCATGTGTAAAAATGAACCGAACAAACTTCCAAAACTTATCTTTTGCTAGTCCTCGAGCAAAACAGAAATTAAAACAAGACTCGAAACAAACCTTTCCGAACACTTTCCAAAGAGAGAGCAACTCATGCAAATAACTTAAAAGTTTTCACAAGAAAAGTTTAGTTTAGACATCATTCACAAGGCAGCAAAGTTCAAAACACAACATGCTCAAAGTGTAGTAGTGTGATGACCAAATTCAACTCATTCTCCAATTTCAGTTTTCACACAACTTCGAAAATCATACCAAGCACAAATGTAACTTCAAATCTCACCAAAGTTGTCCTCTCACAAATGAATCACTCGAAAGAGGGTTACAATGCATCACTCAATAATAAATATGAGAATAGAGTTAAACCATAAGGGACTTAACTCACAATAGAAGGATGAAGAACATGCATAAATATGATCTCAAGAAGGATGCTAAACACTTAAAAGAAGAAGAATGTGTGCAATTCAACCACATGACATTTAGGATCAATTTAGGTCTTTACTATAGGTTGTGAGTGAGAAATGAAGGATATGGATACAACAAAGTCCAAGGAACTCACAATGTTAGAGCATAATAGTTGATTATAAGACTTTGAAACATCACGCTTAAGCTTTTTTCATTTTTTTTATGTGATCAAATAGACCACAAAGCCTTATACCTCCAC